AAAAAAAAAAAGGTCAACAGGTGTAGCAGTCCAACCGACTCGTGGACTGTCCGGACGGTAGCACTGTCATTTAGACGCCTATGCACTGATCGAAAATAAACATACATGCATACACTGTAATTTACTATGTGGAGAACACTCATTTTATCTGTAAAGTTGATTGCAACGAATTGTGCAACAAATGAACTTGCCAAGACAGACTATAAAAAATTAATTTTCTATGTAATATTCATAATTGCAATGAAGCCAAATCTGGCAATGTTGCTCAGAACCGACTAAAGCGCCACTTGTAATCGTCCAATGCGCCAACTTTGGCGCATGCGCCACGTTTTGGCCACCCCTGATTTAGACGAATAAACATGTTTTTAACACTATTTAGCAATAAATATCGCCAAAAAACGCCACATTTCAAACTGTCAATGTTAAGTCTATGGGAAACTTTTTTGCCGTTTATTAGCTTTAAAAATCCTGTTTTTACGCCTTTTATGCTCTAATTGGTCATTTCTATCATGACTGATTCGATATCAACCAATAAGCGTTTTCTAAAAACTCTAAGTCAGATCGGCCCACCTCGGTTAGTCGCGCTAATAAAAGTTACTCCGTTAGGCGCGCGGGGTGCTATAGTACCCTACTGATTTTCATTTTCGCTCTGTGCCAAAAATTTTTTTCATGTGATTTTGCAATTTTTTCGGTGCGATCTTCACACCATGGAAGGAAGGTACTGAGGGCATCATTTTTCGGCCTTAAACCCTTTAAAAATTACACGCGTTTAAACACGCCGGGGGTTCTATAATACCCCGCGCGCCTAACCGTGGGTATTGTCAGAAGAGGGGTAATAGTTCTTGCACCCCGTGAAAACGGATAAGATCGAATAAATAACTATAAATATTAGGTTAGGTAAGGGTTTATCATACCTAATGATGAATATACATTTTAAAAATTCTTCTACTGTACACGGTTTAAAGAAATTTTAAAATGTGTTAGATTGGGCACTCAGTGTGATAAACTCTTTCGTTAGATAACTTTTGTAAATATAAATCAAATACTATAATATAAATGAAATGATTTTAAAATACGATAAAAAATTGCAGCTTGGCATTGAGACGATGTCGCAATAAATAATTGCTCGTCCAACTATTTAGTAAAGTTTATTTAAACATTTTTAGATAAGTGTTATTAAACTTTTTTAACTGTATGACGAACGAAATACAGCAGTTTCTCGATTCTCGAACTGTTCGCAACTCGAACAATTCGGTATTCGAACACAAATTTTGAAAAAAGTCTCTCGGTACTCGACTAAACAAATTTTCTAGTAATAACATATTTTTATTTCGTGATCCATAAAAATTTTTAATGATAAAGAAAAAAGCGCCCTCGTTTAACTAAAATTAATATTAACGCATAATACAGTACTTTTAAATGTGATTGATAATTAATTTTTGATTGGAAATAAATTATCGATTGTTGTAATAAGCATATTTCTCTTAGTAACGAAAAAGAATTGTATAGTTTTGCTAACGTCTGGAACCTAATCCTATGTTTTGCATTAGTGCTTTATTTCGCATAACGCGGCATTTTTTTGGAACGTAACTACCGCGTTATACGAGGGATATCTGTACATATATTAATTATAGATACAAAAATACTATACAAATTATACAACCTTTTAATATTAAGAATGCCTTTAGGTTAGTTTGAATTTTTGAGCTTTCGATATAGCAAATTGACGAATTACATCATCAAAATTAATCCTTTTGGCAACATCCCTCTCAATCGATAAGCAATTTGGTCCATGCAATCGTTCTTAGATCGTGGAGGATATGCGGTAATTGTTTCATTAATTTATTTTGAACAGTAATAGCTCTCCTGGTGTTACGGTAACAGGTTTGAAGAAAAATATTTTGTATGACGTGTATATATTCGGATATGATTCATTCGTATTCCGTTTGTGCACGACATAAAAAATGCTAAGGATTGTAGTGTAGATTTATGTTGTTAATTATTAAATAATAAATACGTATACAAATATTATTTTATGTATATTTATTTACTTTATTAAATAAAATATTTTGTTGTGGTATAATTTAAAGACGTTTTCATTAAAGCTAAGGCATCTCAGAGGAATATAAGGAAATTTTTTAAAGGAAAACATTTCTGGAAAATATTTAAAAGTAGTTTATAGAAAAATATACAATACACGTGATAATAAAATTTCTAATACTCGTATGTGATATTTTTGTTTTATTAATTTATTAGTTCGTCCATATAACAAGTTCCAAATTTTGGCGCCCTGTTATCTCTGCGACTGGGCACGTGCCTTCTCTGTCCCTGCTGTTTACATTTTAGTATGGTTTTCTAAATACAGTACTGTATTTCATCCATATGGGAAATGTGACATAGTTCAAAAAATACAAACTTTTAAGAAAAGAAATGTAGAAAGTTCAAACGAAATGGCACTCATTTTAACATTGGGAAAAATCTCCATATATATCTCCATATTTAAAAAAAAAAATAGAAGAAATTACAATGGCACGTCATCCTATAAGTAAAATAGTCGATTGCCTAAGGCTCCACAGATAGGGGGACCCAAACCAATCTTTTATAAATAAATATTTTCCCTAAAAAATTCCCTCGAAAGAAAATGTCTGAAGTCAAAAATGTATTAAGACTCCCTAACTCAAATTCGCATAGGCCCAAGAAGATATAATCCGAGATTACCTCAAAAACCTGCAATTCTTGGAAAAAACCTAGGAGTGGATCATATATTCAACTTTCAGTTACGAGTTGGAATTCGAACAGCCTCCATATATTCTATTTGATTGACTAACATTTTTCATGCCATGTCACTGATGTTGTCTATTTCTTATTAACGGCCCTGTATACACTTATTGTATACTAGAAATTTTCTTGTCAAGCATGGCGGAATACTTTTTATGAGAAAGGTAGAGACTGAAGAATTGTGAAGAACAGTGACACTTTACATTCAACGGAATACAGTCGTGTTCCAACACATCATCATTAAACTAACATGCCTGTTTTCCTATTAGTACAATCTGCCTTTCTGAAGAAATGATTCTTTTTTGAACATGTCTTACTCGATCTACTTCAAGTCGAACTTCATGTTGTTATGCTGTTTAGGACTTCACGGCATTCATGGGTTTAAGTTGTTCTTATTCTTTTAGATCTAGAATTTACCTGACCAATTTTACACTTACACTTTCCCCTAAGCATTTTTTTTCTTTTTTTGACAAAATAGGGAGTCTTTTTAATTCTACATTGATAAAGCAAAGGTGAATTATGTGTACTGTAGATGACCTATAATACTTTTTAAATAACGAGTTCGTTAGATCGTTACTACCTACTGGATAATATAACGTCACGTGGTCACTACAAAAATTATAGGAGTTATAAGGAATTCACACACATACACTCAGAGACAACGGCTTTTATACTAGTAATGCTTTTAGTTTACTTCCGCGGATTAATGTAGGGAAGCCTGCCCATATTATTGTGGATATTGTGGGTATTAGTATCAATTAAACTTTTGATGGCATGACATGATCAATACGACGTGCGTACAGCAAAAGGAATAACGATATCAGCGATTACGAGCTCAGTTTCAGAAAACATCGTCCGCTTTGAAAAGACATAATTTGTACAAATGGCCAGAGACCAAGCTATCGAAAAGATAAAAATGTACAAGCACGTTTTTATGCATCGGTAGTAGTTTGCTTGTGCACGGCTTGGAAATACGTTTCAGTCCAATAAAGGTAAACTGTACACGAAGTCTGTAATTTTAGTATATTATTTCGCTCACTTATAGAATGTATGCGATTTATTTTTATTTGATGTATTTATTTTATTTATTTATTCTGAAACTATGTAATTTTTAAAACTTTAAACATTGCGTTTTATATTCCGTATTCCCATCACGAACGTTCGATCCTGTAGACAGCTGCCGAAAACATTAAAAACGTAAATAAAATATTTTGTGTTGGAAAAGGCTTCGAACTGTTATAAAAAAAAGTACCTTATACAATGTCTGACGAAATGAATGTTTGTTAAGTTATGGCAACGCAACACTTGGACGATTTGCCTAGGACGGATGACTTCCGGGAGGTTTTTTTAAGGAAAACTGGCCCCTAGTTACGCGTTACAGACGTAGAGAAAATCTGGAAAACTCCACGCGGCCTCGCTAGGAACGAACCCGCGACCGAACTGCCAGTGTTTAGGGTACGAAGACCGCTTGGCCACTGATGGACCTTACGAAATGAGTGAGTTAACCGTATAGGAAAAAATGTCAATGAAATTGATGATTTTAAAAAATGAATCGGGCTACCTATCGAGATAGAAAGTAGCTAAATGAGGCAAAGTCTAACGTAAGCGAAATGAGTGAGTGTTTGTTTGTTTAGTTATGGCAACACAACACTTTGGCGATCTGCTTAGGAGGGATGCCTTCCGGGAGGTTTTTTTAAGGAAAACTGGCTCCTATTTAGGCGTTACAGACGTGGAGAAAACCCGGAAAACCCGGAAAACCCCACGCGGCCAGCCTGTCCGAGCTAGGCGCGAAACGGCGACCGAACTCCCAGTGTTCAGGGTACGAAGGCCGCTAGGCCCCTGGTGGGCCTTACAAAATGAGTGAATTATCCGCATAGGAAAAAGTGTCAATCAATGAAACATGGTTTTAAAGAATGATCGCACCACTTATCGACACAGAGAGTAGCTAAATGCTGTATATATAAAGGAATTAATACAGAATTAGAAAAAAAAAAAAAATGCAGAAGTAGGTCCAACTGTATCGGAAGGGAACCGACTCGCCGCCTATTTACAGATGCCGTCCCACTACTGCACGACGCGGGAGCTTTTGCCTGCTGCGTTTCCGCCCTGGGCCGATTCGCTCCTCCTCAGGCGACCTGGCTCCCCCGAGGCCACCATATCCACGTCCTCTTAGCCGGACATCCGATCCACATAGCACCGCGTAAAGTCTTTGTCTTCTCCCCTCCTCCAGCCGTCCTCTAGTTCCGGCCTCCACGCGACTGGATTACAGGAACGCGCCACCGCTCCCGGCCGAAGTCATCCACTTCGTAACCTCTATACGTGTCTACCTTCCGCTTTTCTCTTTCTCCTCCATCGTTTTCTGCTTGAAAACTGTTTCATTTAATTTTCTTAGACGGATGGATCGATCGGTGCTTTTTAGTTTCCCGTATCCGATTTTTTTATTGAGAGAATTTAGTTATTTCTAGCGATAGGAGATGGCGCTGCATACTATATTGTGACGTGCTAACTTTACCTGTTTTACTATGATCGATAGAAAAAAAAGCCTGATGTTGCATAATGTTTGATGTCAGATTTTAAAAAAGTTAAAAATGTTTTTTTAAATCGTATTTTCGATCGAATTTTTCACAATAAATTAGAAAATTCTATTCTGTTGTTTCTGTTGTAGGTTATTGTCAGTGTAACTGGTTAATTCTTTATCATTTATTACGCTGAAGAAAATGTGATATTTGAAAAGCATTATTTGAGATTTAATACTGAAGTTGTGGAAATAGTTTCCATTTTTAGCATAGTTTTTTAAATTCTGTATGTCACGTCCACCTTCATTCTGGACCTAGCCGAACCTAAAATGGATATGATTTAATAAAAGTCTCTCTTAGGGCTCACAGAGCAGAAAGAGTTTTTAAAAAAGACACGAGAAAAATACTACAATTAATTATAAAAATTTTTAATATAAAATTTTATATATCATAGATTCAAGATTTGAATGGGAAGTTTTCCATAGAATGGTAATTTTTTACACTTACAACGGATTTTTTAAACTGCTCTATAGGCATTGGGGACGTTTTCAAGTCCATAGTGATTTCGACCAGTATCCACAATTGGGTGGACGGATAGTGAAAGACGAGGACCGACGTATTCGGGACAGACCACCCTCGAAAAATTCCTGGGGGTTTGTTACAATAATGGTAAACTCTAACACAGGGGTGGCCAACCTTTTGCATACCATGCGCCAATTTTTTGATAGACGAGTTCAGATGCGCAGTGGCGTACCGTGGGTGTTAGCCGCCCGGGGCGGAGAAAAATTTCGGCCACCCTTTAATCAGGTATTTCAATTTAAAAGATCAAAATTCAGTTGTGTGAAAAAAAAATTAATAAAAAATGCGGTGGTGGTGTAGTTACCCGTACAAAATAGTCCCATTTGACATTAGTGGCATACACGATTGCGAATGTATCGTGAATCGTAGAAGCAAAAAAAAAAAAAAGGTCAACAGGTGTAGCAGTCCAACCGACTCGTGGACTGTCCGGACGGTAGCACTGTCATTTAGACGCCTATGCACTGATCGAAAATAAACATACATGCATACACTGTAATTTACTATGTGGAGAACACTCATTTTATCTGTAAAGTTGATTGCAACGAATTGTGCAACAAATGAACTTGCCAAGACAGACTATAAAAAATTAATTTTCTATGTAATATCCTTAATTGCAAAGAAGCCAAATCTGGCAATGTTGCTCAGAACTGACTAAAGCGCCACTTGTAATCGTCCAATGCGCCAAGTTTGGCGCATGCGCCACGGTTTGGCCACCCCTGCTCTAACAGTACTATAGAATTAAATAAATCAATAATTTAATGAACATTTACACTTCTCATAGTATACTTTAATATATTTTTATTTGCATAAACTTATTCTCTTCACGTGATTAAATCTCATTTATCAGTGATTTTAATTGGAGAATCAAGTTTTAAATTAATTAATTAGAATTCCTTGGAGGGACAAAAACCTACATTTATATTTTCATTAATATTTTTTGTCGATTGGATACTTTTTGTCACGTTCTCACTAATACCGGCGCTGGCATTGCTATTTTTCTCACCCATGCTTTGTTTAATGCTATTTAACGTTGTTAAGAGAACTGGTAAGAAAACTAAAGCGTTAATGGCCGAAAACAAAATGACTAGAAATATGATTTTAAATGCAGCCACAAATATATAAGCTAAGGGATACGCTAAGGGTAATACCGATATAATTGTAGTAATGCTACCCTGAAAAATGGCCACACCGACAGAATTGATAGTGTTACGGAGCCGCAAATTATGATCCGTACTCTTAGTTTCTCTGTAAAAATGAGATAAATGAGCGGCATAATCTACAGAATATCCAACGCACATAATTAAAATAATTATTGACACTTGCGCCAATTCGACATTCCATAGAGCCATGTAACCTAATGTGCAAACTTCCGTAGAGATTACCGAGAAAGCCACCGAAAAAATAGTGATACCATCGGGCATAAATATAAAACAAATAATAATTATAATGATGACTACACTAATTAACATTTTAACCGTGAATTTTACGTGTAAATCTACATCATCGGCAAAATAATTATAAAATATGTATGGGAATGCTTCGAATGGTGCCTTTTCCACAATAGTTCTTGTCTTCTGTAACGTAATGATATCGATTTCTTCGTTTTCGGTGACTTTAGTCTGGCATAAGAATCTACTCCCTATTATGGCACTATAGTTCGAATTGAAAGCTATATCATTGCGAAAACGTTGCGCAGCGGGATGACGAAGGAAAAATTGTCTTAATACTTTAATAAAATCACTCTTCTTGCTGGTATCGTAATCTTTAAGAAAGTACGACATCTTTTCATTATTCAGAAATGTTACGTACGATCTGAGCCACGATTCCGTTAGAGAATCTTCTATTAGATCATTGGCTTTCAAATCCGATAAGATTTTCTCAATTTGAATCTGAATTTTTTCATCTGCGTAATTAATTTCTTGATTAATAACTATCTGAAACCTATTTTTATAATTAGAAAAATGGGTAAATGTCTTCCGAAAGTATTGTAGCAAATATGAATCGGATGCAGTGGATTGAGAAGCATTTCCTACAACATCTACATGCGTAATTCCCCAAAATCCCACAGCTGTATGAAAAGAAAATATCAATAAAACGATAACTTTGCTGGACCAAGGCGTTAGAATGTTACCGAGTCCGTCCCAAATTGTCGAAACAGAATTTAATTTATTGTTTTTGGATTTCCAGGCTTGATTTGTGCAAAAGATTCTTCGAAACCATACTTGCTTTTCTGAAAATAAGTAGTAATAATATATTTTCTTATTTATATTTTCATATATACATTTACGTACGAGCAATTGTTACCTTTAGGTTCATCCAACTTTATAAATATTAAAGAATGTCTCTTTTTCTCTTCTAGATATCCGCAAAGCGCCATGCATGCTCCAACAAATGTCAATTGATAAATATAACAGAATAAAATTGTTACTGATGCAAACAAACAAAAATACCTCACCATTTGATAAGGTGTAAAAAGTCCGGATAAGAATGCTGTAAAATTAGTAATGGATGTTATAGTCACAGAAATTGCTGATTCAGAATAAACTTGTCCAAGTCTTTCGGGGATACTTTTCTTTGAATCGGTTCTCTTCCAAGCGGCTAAAAATACAAATGCATCATCCATGCCTATACCTGAAATATTATAAATTCTTTAATAAAGTAAAGTTTAAGATAAATATAACACATAAATGCAAATATATGCAGTGAATTGTAGTCCCTTTTCAAATTTTAATTTCATAATCAAGGCCTTTACTACGCGCCTCTGAGCTTACGTGTCCTCCTACATGTATCCTCCTCTCCTACTATAAGTAGTGGTTATGTATTTATGCGTTTGTTAATCGTATATAAATATGAAAAGAAGCAGGAAATAAAAGATATTTAAGGAAATTTCTAGAAGACAAAGCGTAAGGGATAGAAGTAATTGCAATTAAATGTAAATGAGGTACGCCTAATACATGCATTTCAATACAAAGGGAATGAAATATTGAAATCTTTCATTAAGCGTGCTTTGAAAGGAAATACTTATTATTATTTATGTACAATTTTTATTTATTCTTAACAAAACATAAAAATATTTATATTTACCTAAAATTAAGAAAGGAATGGATCCAACCGAAGCAATAAATGGTACATCAAAGTACATGATCAAGCCGAACGATGAAACAAGAGCTAATCCACCCGAAGTCAGAGCTATTGCTCCAGTCCACGGTTTGCTTTCTATCCAACTATTATATAAACAAGTTAATATCGAAAATATTAATATTGCTATTATTGCTAAAGGTATTCGAGGAAATATCCGATGTACAACCGTGCTGAATTCTTTATCAATAGAAATTGAAGTGTATCTATCAATAGTTATAAACTGGGTAGTGGTCGATTCCATCGTATCCAAGAATCTCGTTAACCATTTCTCTGCATTTCTTTTTCGATAAATTGAATCATCATTCAAGTAATAAAATAACCTCAAAGCTTTCGCGCTCATTACGTTATTGTTATTATCCAATTCGACTCCTCCTAGATATACACTATTGAAATGAATATCATATTTTCCTTCTCTACCTAAAGGATATTTTATAGAATAATTTCCTTTATTGGTATTTTCTATCTTCTCTTTAAGCGAAAGTATAGAATTAACGAAGCATTTCTTATTATTTCTTGCACAAAGATCTTCGTATTTCATATTTTTAATCCCCGTAGTAGTTATATTCCAAATGATTTTGTCTAGAAGAAAGATTTCTTGAAATATATGCTGGCGAAGAATGGATCCTTTGTCTTTGGCTGTAATTAGAACAACTGCTAAACACGGTTCTCTATTCATTCGTTCCATCCTGGCATTGAATGATAAATTCATTGGGAATAATTTTCCAATGACAGCTTCTTCTTTAATGTGTCTGGTGTTTTCGGGAGCGAGAAGATATTTTACATTATTATTTTCATGCCATTTTTGAAGACCCGTAGCAAGTATTACGGATACAAATATAGGAATGGTAATAAAGTAACTAGGATAATTGGCAATACAAATTCCCAACGTCTTAAACTGTATTGATAAATAATTGTTAATAAAATTTAATTTCATGGCGTTTCTGCAATAGAAAAAATTTTAAATAATTATAAAGAGACTGTGTAAAACTTATTAATATTTTAATGAATTTATGCAGATTTAATATTGTACTAAATATTATTTTATATTATAGCTAATATTAAATTATATTAGCAAATATAATAAATAACTGATAATTCTTGGTTATAATAAATGCTTATTTATATGCTGTGATTTTACAAAATTATTCTAGAATTCGAATTACAATTTATTCGGAAAAAAAACAAGTTCTGTGATATTAAAGAATTAATTACACAAGAGTTAATAATAGAAAAAAATTTAGAAACAAGTTGCGTAACTTTCCCGGCTGCTATGAGATTTTATTTTAAAAATCTCTTTTTAATTACGAATCATAAATATATAAATACTATAAATAAACTTATATGTGGTGTCATCTATTATGGAATTTTGTTATAAAACTTTTATATATTTTTTAATTATTATAAAAAAGCAAAGAACTCAATTTTGAGGGTAGAAATGAGTTTTATAAAGATCCGTACTGTACTGTACATGCTAGCAACAAGTATAATCACCATTAAGTCCGACCCCACGCGAGATATGACACGTGACCATTCTCTATCGCTCCTCCCCACGACCTTTCACCACCACAATTTAATTTCATCAATGCCCCTTATACACAAGTTACAGTGCCAAATTTCGTTTCTTATCTTCACCTCTTCCTAAGATATTAAACGAAATAGACACCAACACACACATACATACATACATACATACATATCCATGGAATTTTTTTGCACTTTTTTCGTTTTCGGGTTCAGGGGGTCTAAAACGTGAAGATTTGCAAAAAATCAGAGTAAAATCTGACACGATTCCAATACTTTTCTTTGTTATGTATAACCGCCGGGAAAGTCATAAAACTTAATCTTTTTGTTACGTTTTTATACTTTACATATTAGAATAAAACTTCAGTTTAAGTACATTTGAAGCCATTTATTAAAATAATTTCTGATATTATCGGCGTAGGCGACAAAAAGTGTCAATGAAACTAATGATTTTAAAGAATGTATCATCGATCGCGCCATCTATCGAGACAGAGAGTAGCTATAAAGTATAATACAGTGTACTGTATATCAATAAATATAAATGAAAACTTAATTAAAAAAGAAAAAAAAGCAGAACTAGGTCCAACTGTATCGGAAGGGTACCGACACGCCGCCTATTCACAGATGCCGTCCCACTACTGTACGACGCGGGAGCTTTTGCCTGCTGCGTTTCCGCCCTGGGCCGATTCGCTCCTCCTCAGGCGACCTGGTCACCCCGGGCTCCCCCGGGGCCACCATATCCACGTCGCTCTTAGCCGGGACATCCGATCCACATAGCACCGCGTGAAAGTCTTCTCCCCTCCTCCAGCCGTCCTCCAGCCGTCCTCTAGTTCCGGCCTCCACGCGACTGGATTACAGGAACGCGCCACCGCTCCCGGCCGACGTCATCCACTTCGCAACTTCTATACGTGTCTAGCTTCCGCTTTTCTCTTTGACCTCCTTCGTTTTCTGCTTGAAAACTGTTTTATTTAATTTTCTGGGACGGATGGATCGATCGGTGCTTCTTAATTTCCCGTATCCGATTTTTTTTATTCAGCGAATTTGGTTATTGCTAGCGATGGGAGATGGCGCTGCGTACTGTATTGTCACGTGCTAACTTTACCATCGTCGATCAGATCGATGAAAAGAAAGAAAAGCCTGTTATTCCATAATTGACGTTTGATATCAGATAAAAGAAAACCGCTTGTTTAGCTAACATTGGTAAGGGGTGAGAAGTGACACTCGGTTCCTAACTTTGTCCCTGATAAATTTCATTGGAATCCTGACCTTAACATGCTGAGGTCATACGCGTGCAATAACTGATTCCATTATAAATGTTTGAAAATACCAAGATTCCATACATTTACAATTTAAAGACTATAATAACATTTAAGTATTTTTCTTTTCGGTCTTGTTAATTGCTATTACAGGGCATCATTGTTTGTTATTTTTAACCGTGAAATTAAAAAAAAAGTGTATAAAATATCATAAATAAAAATTTTACGTGGTTATAGTACACACAAAAATAAAAGACAGTAATATTTTGCTGCTGAAAATAAAAAAAAATCTAGCAACGAGTTGCATAACTTCCATATCCGTATGTTATGAGATTTTGTTACAACAAATTTATATATTTTTAATTATTTTCTATAATTAATTTCATTTTATTAAAAGAAAAATCAATAAAATTTATAGTAAATTCATTATATATATACAGTATATATTATGTATATTTTGCATAAATTTATATAAAAATTTACTGAGTAATTTTGCTATTTATCGGTCATTTAAGGCGTTGTTAATTGAGTAAATAGAACACTCCAATAAATTCTACCATATTAGAAATTAGATATACTGTACATTGAAAAAATATATATATAATACTTGAAAACAAATAAAATTACTTTTATATAAATATTGGTTCTTGTAGTAATATATATATTATTTTATATGAAACAAACATCTATTTAGATCCAGATTCAAATACAGTGAAGGTATTAATTGGACAATGGCCGGTGTTCCGGATACAAATAAGCCAAAAATTTAGTAATACATATATGTAAAAGCATAATATAAAATATGTTTTATTGATTTTGCTTATAGATTTTGAAGAGGAATGAGGATTTACATTTGTAATTAGATCTGGCTCATCTGGCACCCCATTATTTGCTCTGTGAATTGCATCACGAATGGGCGTAGTTATTTTAAAAGATTTTGAAATATAATGTAAGTTTATTCCATTGGTTTATTATATATCGATTCGTTGATTCTTGCAATGTAAAATGCAGTTTGTGAATGAAAGATTGTCTGGTTTTTATTCTCTGGTCACGGATAACAATAATGGTACGGTATTTTAAATTCTGTAAATTTTAATTGTCATTATATTTTTAAATTTGTAATTAAGTTCATATGTAAATTATTATTGTAAGTTAATTGTTAAGGTCTTATAATACAGGTAAATGTTCATTCACATTTTAGGGAATAAAAATTTTTAAAAAAGCCATAAGTTATTATTTCAGATGATAAATAAATATTAAAAAAAATAATTAATTTTTGTTTTATTAATGTGAGATAATGTCTTATATATCTTTATTTTATAGATTATAAATTAAAAAACAACACTATTAATTTCAAATAATTTTTATGATGATTAATATATGAAACGTCAAAATGTTTCTATTCAAGCCTTACTAATTTTTTAAAGTATACTGTTTCCTTTTTCCACCCTCCCAAATATCTCTGGATCCGATATTGGTTGTAGGGATGTACTTTTTTGGGAACCCCGAAATAGGGTCGACTTGTATATCGTGGAGAACCACGCAGAATGCAACTTTCTACCACAAATCAGGTATAACAAGTTACTTCTATATTAGCATTAAGATTTTCTTAAAGCACCCTGTATAAGTGTAGCCAATTCTAAAAGTTCCAGAGATAGATTTTTATAAATTTCTTGTAATTTTTTGAACACGCCTTGTAAATTATAACTTTTTTTTATAAGAATAAAAAATCTATTATTTGTTCTATTGTTTTATGTGTTCTACATGAAAAAAAAATTTTTTTAATTTGGTTTATTGTTTTTACTCCTATGTTTATATGGCTTTAGGAGAAAAATGGAACGTAGATTTACGAATGATCTATGTCTTATCTCATTTCTCTTAGTGCCTGCACATATATATAATACTGTATATAAAAGGCAAACTTGCCTTTTATACGTGCTTGCTGCCTCTGTTTTAAAAATAAAACTATTAATAATTACTACTTAAGTAGCTAAACATGCTGTATAATTATTACCCTAAACTTTAAAGTTACAAGATATTCAGTAAATATATCTGGAATTTATAGACCTAAGAGGTGTTTTATTACATACATATATATAAAAAATATAACAATTAGAAACATTATTATTATTATATTCGTGTTAAGCGAAGTGTTTTTGATTTTTTATTGTATCTAATTAGTAATAATTATGTTGAAATTAATTAAATTAACTGATATAAAAATGAAGAGATGCAATACTTACCTGGATGAAATTACGTAAACTTGTGACGACTATTTAAATAGAACAACTTATGAACACACTATCACTAATGAAAAAGCCGGTAAAGAAATGGGTTAGTGAAGTAAACCAACTCATAAAAAAACATAGAAATGTTTTAAATTCAGGTTGTACAAAGAAGAGATATAAACTATGTATCGAGGATGAGATTAAAAGCTTTTGAAATTGTGTAATTTCTCCAAAGAAGAATCTCATTCCTTCAAGGCAATCTTTAAAGATGAAATCGCTGTTAATCCTAAAATACTGTCATAAGTTTTCATTAAGTTTTTTTTTTATTTATAACATAAAAAATAAACGAGTAGGTGTATTTAATCACGAGCCTTATACGATGCTAAGTAGAAGATTTAATTAGCTTTAGATAAAAGTCATAAATAATGGAGAATAGCTTAATTTATAATTACATAATACCTTTTTTTGTGACCTTATTATAACTACGGTGCAAGGTATACGGCGTATATTTCCAGTAGAGTAAGGTTGATCTGGGAGGATGATGTATAAAGTTCGATCAGAATGAAGAAAAATTACCATAAAACCTCTGTTGTATCTCACATCACCCCCAAAAGTACGCCACTGTAGGCTTACTTATTTTGTAGTAAGTTAATGTCAAATACCCTGAGAACTTATATAACCAGTGAGTATACGAATATCATTCTAAGAAATAAAGCTAAATAATATTTTAAAATTTCAAATAACAAAACCGACACCTTCATTTTTATATGTAATTTCGCGATTTCTTTTTTCTTATGTCAATTTTTAAGTGAAAACAATAGTAATAAATCGGTATGACAGTACTGTTACAAGCTTATTTAATACGATTAACATGATTTTAGAAAATAGGTTTTTTTATTTTTATTATTATTATTTTGATTGCAACATTT